AGTCTTCATTTTCCCAGATAGAGTGTTATATAGAGTCTGGAATATATCTTGGACAATAAATTTCAGCCTGCTCTACTAAAAATAGCAAAGCCCTCTGGAAAGATTTATAGGACATAAAAGACTTAGTACATAAACTAGAAACACAGCACTGAACTTATTGAATACTGATTCACAGTTGGCCTGAAATAGTTTTCAATTCCATTTTTGGAATTTTACCTAAAAATCTTACTATTGCAAGCCACAAAATAGATAACAATCATTAAAGAAAAAATGTATACTTTAAGATTTTGATTATTTTCATTTACTGTACAAGAAGGTTTTTTTTCATTTTCCTTTTCTTGTTCAGCAATCTGTTCGTCTGAATACTTTTCACAATATTTTGGGAAATTTTCATTTGTGCATATTTATGGAATTTTGCACATTTGATAGTGTGACCACTTAAACATCCTAAATTTCTCCTTCAAAAGATATAAACAATACAAATAAATATATGCTCTTTTACATAAATGAGCTCCTGTTTTATTCATATTTATAAACAGCCATTGCACACCTCTGAAGCATCAACATATATGTGTTTAGTGTTTACCATTTGAGTATTGGTTAAAAATAAGAGACTAATTTCAGAATAAAATAATCACTCTCATAATACTGACTCAAAAATACTGAGTCTGTAGTGCTCCAAAAGTTCCAAATGTAAATTAAAATTCAGGCCACTGGTTCTGTTTTTCTCCTCTGCTAAATATTATACTGTTTATATGTCTTGTAGATCATGTTTCTACCTATTTCTGTAACACTCTGAACGTGTGGGTACTGACATAAATATTATATTTTTAATCGTAAAGATAATTTTATATTTTCAAGAACTGCTATTTACTGACGATATGCAGTGATATATGTATGTTGTATTGGATATACAAGGTCTTCTAAATGAGTTTTACTTCAGTTGCTAAATGCAAGGAAATTATTTGTGACATAAAATTATATTGGAGACAAATTTGTAGAACTTTTCCTTATATAAAAAAAGTTTAATTTTGGAAGGTTTTTCTGTTTAATTGAAATTTTCATTTGTAGTTTTTCGAACCAATCACTTTACTATCACTTGTGGAATTCCATTATGACGGACATTTTTCACCCCTTTTCAGGGAAGAGTCCCAGAGAAAATTCGCCTCTCCATGACCCTGCCCCGTTCCGTGTCTACTCCGCAATGACCCTCAGAGGATTTTCATGATGTATTAGAACCAAGAATCGGCGTGATTTTAAAGGAGTTACTGCTTAACAGTCTAAACTATTTTAAGCTCGCTATTGCAATTCATTTTAAAACAAAAGAAAAAAAGGAAAGCTACTTTTGAAATGGAATCAACAGTTCGGTAAATGATGCCGGATTGCCCGTCCGCTTATTTTAGCTTTATCTGTGTACGCGGGGTGAAGGTGGGGGTTCTGCATTTATCCTTTTTTTTTTTTAATTATACAATAACCACAATATGATCAAATCGCAGCTACGGATTGACCAAGCGGGAACGAGTGAAGAGACCAAGCCTGATCCAGCTTCAGGAAGAACTGCTTCCTCCGGTTGATAGGGATGATTAAGCCCTTCATCTTTTGATCAACAGAGAAGCTGCAGCGCTGCCGTCTCACAGGAACATATACAGGCACTTGTACCCACCGAGAGCCCTCCTAAACTAGGTAGAAAGCGTGCGTCGCTCACACCTACAAGAGGGTGGGCCCGAGGAAAGACGTGGAGAGAGAAGGGTGCGAAGTTAGTAAGGGCGCTTTGAAAAACTGAATCTGTTTCTTGTTCCTATCTCTTTTCCTGTCCTGCTCCCTCATTCCAAAGAAATATACAAATATACATATATATGTATGTGTGTATCATCCAGTGCCCAAAAATTTGGAGCTTTCTTTGAAACACTGAAGTGCCTGATAATTAACGATGCTGCTCTGGGCGCCTGTGGCCGAGCCTGGCTTCTGGCCGCTTGCAGCCCCTGACGTCAGCGGCCGCGCTGCCTGCGTCAGATCCCAAGCTGGCCGGGGGTGGCCTGGACCCGAGCTGCGGGGGAGGGGGTTCTGGACAGGGTTGGATGAAACCCCAGGGGTGGCGAAAGGGGCTTTCCCCGGTGCACGCAAGAAACTCCTGTCGCAGTTACAATGACAACTTTTGCAGCTCCAGGGGATTAGCGGGCAACCCCGACTGCAATCAGGTCTCAGGGCCAAGATCGCGTGCAGTCTCCCGGACTAGGCAGGGGTGGAGGGTGTGCAGAAAGAGGCCCGAGGGAAACGCAAAGTAAGTCTGTAACCAGCCAGCGCTTCCTTTCTTCGTCTCCTGTGCGGGCAATGTAATGTTTTGCACCGACTTCAAAGAGGTGGACCTGAGAACAAATGGACCCACTGTGTCTGCCTCAACTGGACTCGACTTACAAGTTGCACGGGTTTTTTCCTCCCCGTGGAGAGGACAGGACCTGGTCTCTAGCTTGTTGGGATTTGCCAGTGGGGGAAAATGAGCTCAACGTCGTCGCAGTTAACCAGTCTTTCTTCTAGCCGTCCTCTGCCTACTCCCTCCAACCTGGGCTTCTACCCCACCTCCTCCTGTTCACCTTCAGGCCAGAATTTAGACCCTCCTAAACTGAAGAGTTCTCAAGATTACAAGAAAATTTGATGTTCAAAGAGGACCATAGTCTCTATGTTACAGAAAAATGTGTTTAATGCCCACATCCTAATGTCCCTAGGGTCGGGGAACCCAAGTTTGGGAAGTCGTCGGCCCATGCTTGGAACTAAGTTTACAGGACTAGGTCTGAGATCCTCCCTCATGTGCATGGGCCCTTTCTTGTCTGAATTTCTAAGTAACTGGAATGATTTCCTCAACTCCTTACTTGTCATGTTATTCAGGTTGTTCTTGCTGCTGCTGTTTTCAATGACAGCAGTTACATTTCTCTTTTAATATTCCTCTTTTCCAAATACAAATTCCCTAGGATGAATGTGATCATTATGTATATCTAAGTGGTACCAATAAAAAGAAATAAATAATATTCATCTTTTCCTCCACTCCTAGAGGACAGGAAGAACTGATGGCAGAGGCTCCTTAAGCAAATATTTGAGGCCCAACACTTTATTGCAGTTTTTCTCCAGTAGTAAATTCGGGTCCCCACAACAATCCCTGTCAGGTCTCAGCAAAGTCCAAAGGTGAAAGGCAACACTCAGGTGTGGGAAACTGGTGCTGCAGCAGGGACCCTCTCCCTGGGACAGCAGCTAAAAGAATTCAGCTACGGAAGGGCCACAGACGAAGAACAGGAGCAAGGATTGCCCTCTCTCCTCTAGCTTCCACGCTGAGAGCAGTCCTAACTCCAGCGGGAGCGAATTTCTGCCCCCTCCACTTGAGAGCAGTTAGAAGGCGCTGCTCTTGCTACAAAGGGAAGAAAAGCATTTTCTGGTACTGCATTTTGAAAAGTTAGAGCTTTAATAGCAACTTCATAAAAAGGACACCTTCCCCTAACGGGTCAATAAATACCAAAGGAGTCGCTGCTCCCTCAGAGCAAGGTGTCCTCTCTGTCCCCACGTAGCAGTAACCACTGTAACCGCAGTTTCTCCTGTGAGGCCCAGGCACTGCAAGTTCAGCCAGAGCGAGTAAGACCCAGGACTTTGGGGTCAGCCTGCCTTCCCCTCTGGGTTCCAGAGTCTGAGGAGGATGAGTCGAACCAAATTAAATTGAGACGAGCCAACTTTTAAAAGGCTTAAAAAACCTGTGACTAGCCCAGCCTTGTATACCCCACTGCCTGGCAGATATAATGAGAAGCTAGTACTTCCTGCCAGTATGGAAAACATATCTGTATCTGCACCTAAAAAAAAGTACTGCGGTAACTCTAACACTGCCTTCAAGGCATTGCCTGCAGTAAGGATTTACCCGAACGAAATTTATTAGAAGATGATCAACCTTGTTTATAAGCATTTCCTCAAAGTGGAGGCCTGCAGGATTTTAGGAATTATTCAAAGGGCTTTTGTTTCATTTCGTTTCTTGCTTATTTGTTTGTTTAAAAGCGCTAGGAATGTGCCTTTTATCCGGAATCCTTCTCTGCCCTTTTCAGGCAGCGATCGGCCCGCCGGCCTGACACTTGGTTAAGCCTCAAGACTTACAAAGATCATTTCCTAGAACACTAATTTGAGCGAAATCTGGATTCAGAGCGTGGGTTTACACGCCTAGCTCGAATGTCTAATGTATCAAATCCTCGTTAACGAAGGGCCCGCTCCGTGGCCGTGTCAGCCAAAGGTCAGCCCCGCGCAACAGGGCAAAGTGGTTCAAAAGCCCTCTGCCAGCGCCCTGTCTGCCCCTCCCCCCGAAATCCATCTTTCACATTTCAATAATAGAGCACACAGGCGCTCCAACGAGAAATGCTACGGTTGTTTTTCTTTCTTTCCTTCTTTCTTCACATTAGTGACATGTAAATGACGTGTCCTAAGGCAACTGCTACAAAATTAAGTTTATTTTTTTCCAGTGGGAAGGGAGTGGTGTTAGTGGCCAAGGTAATTGTCAAAACGTCCTCAAGAGGCACGTACATTTGAGAAGCTGTAGTGCATACAAATCTTAACTTTAAATACTAATTTCATAGCATCCTAGTAGAAATCAGGAGTGAATTTGGTTGGAGACCTTAGTGATTAGAACCGGCTTAGGGAAAGAGGTAGTACCCCCTCCCCCTCTTCCCTTCCCGGTTTAGAGACCCACAGAACGCGCTGATTTTTAAAAGATAGCTTTGTTGCCCGCAGGGCCAAAGAGGATCCGGGGGAGCGGGCCGGGCCCTGTTTGCTCGCACCTTGCTCTGGAGCCCCGCTACACTTCTGAATACCCTGGGATCCTCAGCGTCCAGACGCCCAGCGGCAAAGGCCGAACTGGCGTGGCTGTTCCAGATCAGCCCAACTTCACCGCGCGCGCCTCAGGCCACGCGCGCGCACGCAGTCGCCAGCCGCGTCCGCTGGGAAGGTGGCGGACGGGGGAGGGGATAAACTCGACTTACCAGGTCTGGGGTCTAGATTTCGGGTAAGGTTGGCAGCTGAGCGAGGCCGGGCAGATAAAGTCAGTCCTGCCGGAGACAGGCCATTTGGACAACGTTAAGGCGCAAGTGGGGAAAGGAACGCGCCTCGGAGGTTTGGGGTCCCCCTTCCCTTAGCTGGGCTTCCCTGCAGCCCGGCTGCAGCCTCCAAAGACTAAGATCGGCTGGGCCGCAGGAGGCCCGGAAAGCCTCCGAGCAGCCATTGAGACAGAGGCACCGGGTCTCCAGGGCCCTGGCGCGTACTCCGGGACACCGCGGGGCGGAGAAGGGGCGTCCCCACTCTCCAGCCCAGGAGAGGGTAAGCGCTTTGCAGCCGAGCTCGGATGCAGGCGGCCAAGCCGAGCAGCTGGGCAAGTCCGCCGCCTCCGGCCAGTGGCTCGCAAACCCCAACCCGCTCCCGACCCCGCCCCTCCCTTCCCTCGAGCCCTTCGCCAAATGAAAAGGGTTCTTTGGGCCTTGGCCTTTGGGGAAAGCCACGGGAACCCACGCTGGGCTGGAGCTTTCTGCTCCGAGGGAGCCTCACACAGGTCTCTCCATCATTCACGAGGAGTCTGGAGAGTGGACACCGTTTCCCCTGCCCCACGCTCAGAACACAAAAAGACCTAGATAGTGAAGGGTTTTTTTTTTGGCGGGGGGTGGCCCCTGCGACAGGGTTTCAAGGATTCTGCGTCCCTGACCACACACGGGGCACTCTGGCCTTCGAAAGCCTCGAACAGGAGAACTGGGACCCTCGTGGCCCAACCACTTCCCTCAAAGTGGCCAGGAGGAGGGGTGAGTAGCTTCTGCCAGAGGTGTGGGCCCCCGCACGCAGCTGGCCTGGGCAACGGGAGGCGAGGCAGGCACGGAGCCCCCAACCAAACGCTCCTTTTCGGCCATCCTCGCCTTCTGGACCTGCACACAGGTTGAGCTCACTGAGCGTGAGCTCCGAGCCTGGCTAGGAAAAAGAGGCCTTATCCTGGCAGGAACATTTCCAAAACCTCTCCCTTCGTCAACTTTAAAGCTGAAGGGTTGGCAAGTGGTGGCGTCAGGTGAAACGATACTATGGCTCCTGGATGCCGCAACTGGCACCGTTGGAGCTGGCTCTGGGGTAGAGTGCGCTGTGAACCGGGCAGTGACCCAGGCCTGTCCTGTTGGCAACAAGGGAACTCAGAGGTGTGAGCCTCGCAAAATGGTTCTACGTATTCAGTTGAAAGTAAAATCCAACGGAGATTTGGAACCCGTTGGCAACCATTTCTGCCATCCTGCGACACAGGATTTTAACGGAAACACCCACAGCCACAAGCTCTGGTGGGAGAACAGGAGGAGCCGGGGACCCTTTGCTGCCCCTCCTTTGTGTTAGCGACTCCTTCACACCCGTTATTTAGTCCCTGTGAAAATAGTACGCTGGCCACAAAACACCATGTAATGTACAGAACTACCAAAACATCACTGAGAGGAAAGCAGCAGTCCAACGCCTGAACTCCGGGTTTTCTCCCCAGACCCTCATTACTGGTTCGCAGCCAGGGCAGCTTCTTCCACTAAACGTGTTTGCATCTCCTAGGGCTGTTGTGAGTTTCGCAGGACTTAGTGGTAGACAAACGAGCTGAATACTATTTGGGATGGATGGAGCGAAGACGCTACAATGGCTGTTCCAGCAAACAGCTCCTCACCCGGCAGATGGGGTGCTGGGTGTCTGGGATGAAGCCACAGGGCAAGAGGACGCAGAGGAAATGAGAGAGAGACAGACTGGGTGGGATGGAAGCAGGTATCAGACAGGATCTGAGGAAGGGCTGAGGGTGGGCTCTAGGAAAACCCAGGGCCGGGCTCTGGGGCCTGGGCTCTGTCTAGGGGCCAGAGGAGTCTTGGGGACGTCTTCTCCGAAGTGTTAGGGGTTCGAGAAAAGCCAACGGGCCATCTTTCGGCTAGGGAGCAGACAGGAGAGGGGGGGAGCCCTGGAGGGTACAAACCAGCACCCCAGCTTCCCGGATCACGAGCACCCCGCACCCCCAGGCCCACGGGGAAGGGAAAATCCCGCGGGCGCGATCGCCTCGCAGTTACGATGGCGGCGGCGGCTGGGCGGCCGCAGGTTGCTCGGGACTGCTGGCATTGTGAACTCACTTAAACCAGCGCGGTTTGAAAACAAACACGTGTAGCTTCCCCGCCGCACTATTTTGGGAGCCGGGCCAGCGACTTTCTCAGGCCGAGGCCTCGGCGTGGCCCCTGCGCACGGCGCGGGGCGGGGGCGCATCATGCATATGCATCAGCACGTGCAACCGCGGGCCGCGGGGCGCGCATGCGCACTGCCGGGCCGGCGCGGCCCCAGCCACGGCCCTGGCTAGCGGTGGGGACTCGGAAGGGGCAGCCGGGCTGCGGGGAGGCGCGCTCTGCCCTTCGGCCCCCGGCGGCCCGGCCTTCGGCGGAGGCGCTGGAGCGCAATCGGCTCCTTCTCCGCGCCCGCCCGGGCCTGTGCTTGCGTACTTTTAAGCGGGCCTGCAGGGCACAGATTCTCTCCGCGCACGCCCCGCCTCACTCGTCCTTGTCGCCCGGTTTCTTCTTCTTTCCTTGCAAGTTTGGATCGCTTAGCCCGAGGGGAGGGTTTTCCCGGACAGAAGGGAAACAATGTGCAGAATTGCAACACAGTATGAGCCTCTTGCATCCGCTTCTGCCCCTGTTTCCTGTAGCTTACTGGGAGTTGTTACATAAAAGATACAGGAGGTGCAGCCACATTTTGTTTGCTCAGGTCCTACGCCTGCCTTCCAAGCGATCCTGACGATTGTTAAAGATGAGGTGACAAACACGGACCCGCGCTCAGTGCGCGGTGGTTGCGTATGCTCCGGGTGGAAATACCACTGTGTAACTTCCACAACCTGTGCGTTGTACTGCTTGTGCTTACAGAGCGGCCCACAAGCAGAGAAATCCGATTTCTCAGCCTTGAAGAACTCACCTCTGGTGTAGCAGCAGTTGGAAACTTCATACTGTTGTAGCTTGTCACTCCAAAGTGGAAATCGACCTTAGGAACTGATGACAGATTCCAGCTTGCAGGGTAAAAATAGCCTCCCCCCGCCCCGCCCGCCCAGTTTGGCCTGATGTGTTTCCCAGTGCTAAGAGAGACTCTGGGGCCAACCACCCGTGCATAGATTACAGACCGTTGTTCATGCTCCGTGCACGTCACAGTTTGCGGTGAACTCTGAGAAAGAGGCTTGCATGGGACATGTTGTAAGTTCTTAACATTTTTCTTATTTCTGGCCCCAGACTAATGGTTATCATTTGAAAAAGATAGACTGCAACATGGTTATCCCATAAAAAGCTTAACATTCTATATCTAACCACTTTAACACATGTATATATTACAGATGGTTTTAAAAAACTAAGAAAGCACAATGGGTAAATCAAGGCTTACATGGCTCTACTGAGATAGAAGGAAGGAATCTCTCCACTGCCACCCTATTTTCAAGAATTTTAAAACCAAACAGAGTGGTATCAACTGTGAGCACCTTTAGGAAAAAAACACTATTTCCCGTACGATGAACATATAAGAACTACATTTGATACTGGATGGAGGTGAGAACTCTATCTAGAAAGGAAGTGAAATTAGTATTTCAAGTTGGAAAAATGAAAGAAATGTAAATTGTGAATGTATAAAATCTGCTGTCTTCATATCTAGTCCACAGAAGATTAAGGGAACAAGCCCATGCCTTCAGCATGAATGTGTTAGACTATAGATACTCCTCAAAACATCTTAAACTGAATCTAATCCTTACAACAAAAGACTTTCTCCAGGTCACTTCCTGGAAGGCAGTATGTTCAGGTACCAACTTCACCAACATGAACTCAACAAAGGTGTCTGGACACTGATTACACCATGACTTCAAAAAGGGAACTTGTAGAAGGTTTGGGGGTGAGTGATGTATTTAGGGGTGTGCTGCTAGTGCCAACCCTTAAAAGTTCTCAGCAAACTTCACAATCAACAAATAATAACATCTAAATGCCAAGCCCATCAGCAAAGAAGGTTAGTGCTATTTTTATTGTCAGCTAAAGCCCAAAAAAAAAAATAAAAAGAAAAAAGAAAAAAAGATAAGCAGATGGGGCAATTGAAAGGTTACATTTTTCTTTTGGAGGTGGTTTGCTTCTTAAAGGTTAACTTGAATGCTTGACTTTAAAAAATCAAAATCATCAGCTGCAAATGCTTAAAGCAGTTGGGGGTAGCTTTTGAAGAAGAAAACAAAGGGTCTGAAATGTTTGAAAATTACTTAGCCCCCATATAAATGGTGCTTGTATATTTATATGCTTGCTCTATAAATGTACACACACATACCACAACTCATTTCTCTTCATTTCTCAAATATGATTATTGCTTGTACTCAGGCATTTTTTGTTGACACAAAATACCATTTTAATAATTCGTTAGGTGTTCTAATCATTTGATAGTATCCAGAATACACTGTAGTCACAATGTCAACCAGTATGGAGCTCTGCCTAAATCAAAATCCACAGCTACACACATATAACAGCCATATGCAGCATGTTCTCCTCTTGCTAAATAGAGTCTAACAATATATTTTGCTGTTCACATTCATGTATTTCAAAACCTAATAGCCCATGAAGAAAAGTATGAAGAATACATCTGAAGAAGCAGACATTAAAGGTACCAGCAAAATGATAGACTACATTTAAGTTTGAAGCATTATTTTAGGTGACTTACATCATTAATGACTTTTTCTTTGTGGTGGATGTTGAAAAGAGAATTCAGGAAAGGGTTTGGCATAAATGTTGGCTTCTACTTAAAAAGTTCTTTTGGTGTAAGATTATTCATGTACACATACACAGAGGACTTCTCAAATTACTTGACCTTCAAATAAAGATTTGAAAAATGAAGTAGCATTAAAATAAACATTTCCCCCCCAAAATATCTTTAAAATATTCTACATAAACCATACACCATACATAGTGTGATATTTAATTATTACACCATGATATCAATGTAAAAGAAGCATTAGGTATGTAACAAACAATGAGACATTTATATTTTCAAATTTGAAGCAAAGTGTATTTAGGAATGGTCACAGCAAAAATAAATTCATTATTTTCTACCTTCTTTGAGGCACTGCAAATATTACACATGTACTGTTATGATGATCGTTATCATTCTTTTATCAAGTTCCCAGACAACCGTATCTCTAATGAAAAGGGGAAAGATTATTAATTGAGCAGTTTTCCTTCAAATGGAGATGAGCTATCTTTAGCCCTCTAGTCTTAACTACTGGGCTCAGTGTCTGGACTAACTTCGAATAGTACCCTGTTAATCCATTTCTAAACTCA